CCTTCCCCCGCGCTCGCCTGAGATCCCCTCGGAGTTTCGGGGAAGAACGTTTACTGCGAGAGGTAGCAAAACGCACAAAGACGCAGAGACGGAGGGAGGCGCCGTGCGCTGGGCTCGCGCAGGTCCCCGCCGTGGGCCCGCCCCTCCCAGCCTCATCCCTCCCACAATCACCCACGGCGACCCCCGCCAGCAGCCCAGCCCAGGGGACTTCGGCCACCAACCACGCCCGTAGCCAGAGGCAAGACCCAAATTCTGGCCAGGGCATCCGAGGCCCTCTGCCATCCGCCCTGCCAGCGTTTAGCTTCATCTCCCGGTCTACACACACACACACACACACACGCACAAGCACGCACACACCGACACGCACACGCACGCTTACACATGCACGCGCAACATACGCAGACACAAATGCGCGGGCGCGCGCACAGGCACACGCACGCGCGTACACACACACACACGCACACACGCACACACGCATGCTTCCGTTGCACTCGCTGTGGCCTGTGCCTGGAATCCAGTGCCCTCCCAGGCCTGGGGATTCTTTCTTGGCCTGGTCCCTACACCTCTGCCCGTCCACTGTGGCTCCAGAGGCTGTGAGAACGCAAACCTGGTCCTTGGTCCCTGGTCCCTGCCCTCCTGAATCTCACGGTAGGAAGTGCTTACCAACGACACAGCCCTGCAAGGTGCAAGGGCGACGGATACCTCATTGACCCTGTCGTGGCTAGCCTAAGCATGGCATATGTTGGCTCATGCCAGTCTCTGGCAACAACCTGCTACAGGACAATGGGGGTCCTGTGCCGCGTGTCAATGAGCCACCCACTGGGCACGCTCTATGTGAGAGGAGGAGCGGGGAACTGCCCAAGTCCGAGTCCCCGGGCCAAAGCTTGAGGAACTACTTACAGGGTTCAAAAATCAGGAAATTATACATATTCATAATTTTCCAGCCTAGTTAATGCATATGCAGAGCGAGGCGGGGACTTCTGTGGCCCGGAGCTCGGCTGCAGACCCTCTCTGATTATCTTCCGCGAACCTTGCACTGCAGCACTTTGGTCTCTTCCAGGCTTCTGACAACACGTAGGTTCTGGCGGGTCAACCAAGGGACAGGGCTCTTTACTGCGCATGCTTGGGGGTCAAAAGTGCCTGAAACTGGTTCTTTTTTCTTTCACTTCATACCTTCCTGGTTCTGCAACAGCTGACGAAGTACAAGCTGACACTGGGGTGAAGCGCAAAGGCAGGGGCTTGAGAACCTCGGCCTCCATGGTGCCAGCCCTCCTGGGCAGCTCATAGTTCCATTCCACAGATGAGGAAACCATGGCCCATGGAGGTCGAGTGTTCGGCCCAAGCCACACAGTGAGCATTGGTGGCAGAGCCTGCACCAGACCCACCTCACCACTCCACCAGCTGCTTTCCTGATAGCAAAGGGAGAGAGGAGACTGCCGAGTGGGACCTGCCTGGTTAGGGGGGAGGCTGCTCTGAGGAGCGCTGACCCTGAGGTCTGAGGAGAGGGTATTCACAAGGCGCAGAGGGCAAGAGCCAGATCGTGCCTCCAAAGTCTTCCTTTCCAAACTTGCAGAGCCCTCAAGAAAGCAGGAGAAACCTCCAAGCCCATAATACAAAAGTGAAGAAGGTAACTAAGGGCTTATGTGATGGCAAAGCCAATGTTCTGCTGGCCGTTCCAAGTGGCCCTCTGCCTCAGGCACCCTGTCCCAGGCCCGAGGGGCCTTGGTGTGGATGCTTGCGGAAGCTGAGCCTGACACTAGGGTTCCAGGGCAAGCCGTGTATTTGGCGGAGCAGGGCAGTGACTTGGGGGCGGCAAAGAGGCCAGTGAAGGTAGTGCTAAGACGGCTGCCTTAGTGGGGCACTGGAGCCGAATCCCACCAAAAACCTCTGGGAAATGGTGCCCGAGGCTCCCAGTTCATGGCATGGCAAACGCCAGGTGCAGGACAGTCTCATCCAAGGGGTGAGGGCTGTCTTTCCAGCAATTCCCAGGACTCGGGGATTAGGGACTGCTCCGGGCTGTCAGCTCCTCCACCCTTTCAGCCCGCCACCTGCAAGAGGCAGGCTGACTAGCCCTTCTCAGGCGCCCACCACTGGAAGTCATGCTGGAACACATGGTAGTGGCTGCAACATTGGAACAGCGGGCACTGAGCCACAGTCAGCCGGGCCTCCAAGGGAAGCAGGCTGGCCCCACGTTGGCAGTGCCCTAAGCACGAGGAGAGGCGGCGTTCTCCCTGGAGGAAAGGTAAGGCGGGGGTTCCCACAGACTCGGGTGAATCAGATGAAGCTCAAAATCACACATCACCAAACTCAAAGGAAGGAAGACTTGATGGGGTGTGAAACAAACCAAAACCAAACCCACTGGTGTCGAGTTGATTCTGACGCACTGCGACCCCCGCTGGGTTTCCGAGGCAGTGAATCTTTAAGGACGTAGATTGCCCGTCTTGCTTCCATGGAGCAGCTGGTGAGTGAAACGGAGGGATCAAAAGTAGAATGTGAGGTTGGTGACGTTTACTGTGCTTCAGAGATGTCAAAAGAGGGCCAAAACACTAACCAAAATGATGCCACACAGAAACACGCACAGAATCCTAACCAAAATGATGCCACACAGAAACACGCACAGAATCCTCATAAATGAAACCTCTTTCCATAAAACTAAAAAGTCAGAAGAAACCTTGAAAGAATTATGCTAAATGAAAGAGATCAGTCATGGGAGACCCCATATTGCCTTGTTTCATTTCCTTGGAATGTTCAGAACTGGCAGAGCCATGGAGACAGGAAGTAGACTGTGGCCAGAGGCTGCGGGAAGGGGATCATGACCGCTAAGGGGTGTGAGGTTTCTTTTGGGGGTGATGAAAGTTCCCTAAAAGGTGATAGTGGTGATAGTTCACAGCCCTATGAATATCCTAAAACTATTGAACTGTACACTTTAAAAGGTTAAATGTTACATAGTATGTTATACCTCAAGAAAGCTGAATGGTGGTGGTTTCTTTTCAAAGCTCAGGACGTAAGTGAAACAGCAAACGTGACACAGCTGAAGAGGGGTTCGTGGATTAGACAATAAATTTTTTAAAAATTATCCAGAATGTAGCATAAGAGATGAGGAGACGGCAAAGAGGAAAGAGCGACAAGAAAACGGGGAAAATAGTGGGCAGAGATCTAGCCCAAGTCTGGTTAAGGTCCCAAAGGAAAACATGTCACCAATGCTGAGAATATTCCACAACTGCTGGAAGATGTGTATCCACAGAGACTCACAACATACACTAAATGAGATCACTACAAAGAAATGTCCCATCTACACAGAGTGAACTTTCAGACCACCAAAGACAACGACCCAACAGAAAGGCAGACCGACTCGGAAGGAAAAACAATTGCATTGACCATAAAATGTCAACAGCAACCATGAAAGACAAAGGAATCGGATCTTCAAAGTGCCCGGAGGAAATCACTGCTCATTAAGAATTTTATATATTATTTTTCGAAAATCAGTCAAAATAATTTTTTAGACACTTAAAAGTTTAGATAAATAAAACTTTTTTCAGATAAAAAAGATTTTAGAGAATTTGAGTTTGCAATTAACCCTCCACTAATGGAACTTCTAAAGAAAGTAATTCAAGAGGAAAAATAATTCCAGAAGGAAGTTAAAAGGGAAATGGTGAGCACAGACGTTGGCTTACGAGAAGAGAAATCTAAATTAACCTCTTCTGTATGTTGTTGTTGTTGTTGCTTGCCATCGAGTCAGCCCCGACTCATAGCGACCCCTCCTTGGGTTTCCGAGGCAGTATCACTACAGAAGTAGGATTGCCCAACCTTCCTTCCGAGTATAGAATATAAATAAAATGGAGCATGTGCAGTTTGCAAAGACAGAACTAAAGGGCTGGCCAGCAGCAGTATTTCAGACAGGAGAAGGTGATCGGAGTTGAGGGTCTATGGCCCTTGCGTTGTCTGGGAGGCAACGTGATGATGTTTGACTTCAGACAGTGCTTAGATGTTAAGAGGGCAGAGTACAGTTTACGGACAAGCACTGGAGCGGCACAGGGAAGAGCCGCACGTGGGAAATTCAACGCCTGCAGAGGCCGCAGCTGGGGAAGATGTTGGCGTGTCCAAGGAATGGAAGGTCAGTGTGCCTTCCTGCAGTAGGTCACGGGGACAGTGGGCACCACAGAAGGACAAACAGCAGATCCCACGCAGCTTTGACATCCTATTACTGTAGTGACTGTGTCCCAGGGACCTCAGTGTGCTAGATGGGAAGGCTTGGGCAGGACGTAAGAAAGAGCTCGTCTGAGAGTGACCTCTTGTTGTTGTTACTAAGTCCTGCTGCGATAGTTCTAGCTCACGGTGAGCCCGGGCGCTGCCCGGTCCTGCAGTGACAGGACCGTTGTTATACTTGAGCCCATCTCATTGAGGGTCTTTCTCTCTCCCTCTGACCCTGTATGTTACCAAACATGATGTGCTCTGGGGACTGGTCCCTCCCGATAAAATGTCCAGAATGGGAGCGACCAAGTGTCACATCCTTGCGTCCAAGAAGCGTTCTGGCTGCACTTCCTCCAAGACAGATGTGCGCGTTCTGGCCATGCACAACGCCTTCCACATTCTTTCCCAGCACCACAATTCAAATTCATCAATTCTTCCATCTTCCTTATTCACTGCCCAGCTTTCCCATGCGGAGCAGGTGACTGAAAACACCATCGCTTGGGTCAGGCACACCTTAGTCCTCAGAGTGACACCTTTGATTTTTAACACTTTAAAAAGGTCTTTTGCAGCGGATGTGCCCAAGGCAATAGGTCATTTGATTTCTTGACTGCTGCTTCCATGGGTGTTGATTGTGGATCCAAGTAAAATGAAACCCTTGACAACTTCAATCTTTTCTCTGTTAATCATGTTATTGCTTATTGGGCCAGTTGTGAGCATTTTCATTTTATGTTGAGGTACAATCCATACTGGAGACTGTAGTCCTTCATGTTCATCAGTAAGAGCTTCAAGTCATCCTCACTTTCAGCAGCAAGGTTGTGGTCATCTGCATATCGCAGGTTGTTAATAAGTCTGCCAACAATCCTGATGCCATGTTTTTCTTCATGTGGTCCAGCTTCTTGGCTTATCTATGCAGCATACAGACTGAATAAGTATGGTGAAAGGATACAACCCTGATGCCCACCTTTCCTGATTTTAAACCAGGTAGTATCCCCTTACTCTGTTCCAATGACAGCCTCTTGGTCTATGTACAGGTCTGTCATGAGCACAATTAAGTGTTCTGGAATTCCTATTCTGCACAATGTTATCCATAATTTGTCATGATCCACATAGCCTAATGCCTTTGCATAGTCAATAAAACACAGGTAATCTTTCCAGTAATCTCTGCTTTTGGCCAAGATCCATTTGATATCAGCAATGATATCCTTGTTCCATGTCCTTTTCTAAATATGGCTTGAATGTCTGGCAGTTCCCTGTTAGTGTACCACTGTAATTATTTTTTAGATATCTTCAGCAACGTTTTACTTGTGTGCAATATTGGCGCTACTGTTCAATAATTTCTGCATTCTGTAGAACCACCTTTCTTTGGAATGGGCACAGCTATGAATCTCTTTCAGTTGGTTGGACAGATGAATGAGCACTTCCAGTGTTGCATCTGTTTGTCAAACCATTGCAATTAATATTCTGCCAATTCCTTGTTTTTCACCAAATGCCTTCAGTGCAGCTTGGACTTCCTTCAGTTGGTCCTTGATCATATGCTACCTCCTGATATGGTTAAATGTTGACCAATTCTTTTTGGTCTTTTTGGAGTGACTTAAGCAAGAGGAATTGTTTTGTTCTCATAATAGCCTGAGCAGAGGTGGGTGGCTGCTGAGTCGTAGGGAACTTACAACTGTGAATCTGGACTCTGGGCCCACTTTTCTTTGATTCCTTTGACCTTGCCCTCATCATCAAATGATGGCTGCTGATTGGAAAATGGACTGGAAGGTTCTGGAATGCAATGGGAAGGACAGCAAGAAGGATAGAGACTGGGACTAGGGCAATGGCAGAAGAAATGGAGGAAGTGGATGGACTCACAGACTTGGTGGTGTCTGTCCTGGTGTGTGCTCCCAGATTCCTGGCTCAGGAAGCTGATGGGTCTACAGACAGGAACAGCTGACTCGAGAGGTGTGGACAGGATCCTGTTAACTCGAGGTCCCTGCAAGGCTTCCAACAAGAGACCCTCAGTCCCTCTGGGCTGGGAAGAGAATTCTGGCTGGAGACACAAGTGTGGACATTGTTGGTGTAAAGAGAAGAACAGGGGGGACTTCTGGTGAGATGGAGGAATAGGCAGACAAGCTACACAGACCCTCTTCAACAAAGAAAAGAGAAACCAATTGACAGCGATACAGATGATAATCCTGGAGCCCTGAGCTTTGAAAGGAAGGGTACAGAAGTGACAAGTGCCCTTATGCATGTGAGAGCTGGACAATGAATAGGGAAGACCAAAGAAGAGTTGATGCTTTTGAGTTGTGGTGTTGGAGAAGAATGCTAAGAGTACCATGGACTGCTAAAAGAACTAACAAATCTTCCCTGCAAGAAGTGCAACCAGAATTCTCCTTGGAGGGGAGAATGGCCAGACTTTGTCTTACCTACTTTGGTCATGTTGTCAGAAGGAACCATTCCCTGGAGAAGAACACCATACTTAGTAAAGTGGAGAGACAACAAAAAAGAAGGCCCTCAACAAGACGGATTGACATGGTGACTGCAAAGATGGGCTCAGGTGTAGCAGGGATCGTGGGGCTGGTGCAGGACTGGGCAGTGTTTCACTCTGCTGTGCACAGGCTCACTGTGAGTCAGAGAGGGCTTGACAACACCTACTAACAATACAGAAGTGGATTAGGCACCAGCTAGTGGAAGAATCTGAATGAAAACAGTGAGTACAGAGACAGACAGAAGTGTGGACTGTCAGCTGCTCTGACAGCACCAACAGCCTGAATATTTCCAAGTGGTGTTGGGACCTGAGAATTGACTTGAAGGTCAG